GCTCTGCGACTCGGCCGGCGGTGTCAGGATGGAGGGCGCAGGGACGGTCACCAGCGGGGACAGGGCCTTCTTCATCAGGTCGGCTGAGTTGATGTTCCAGGCCTCCGCCGTGATCAGCTGGGCCACCCCGTTCTCCAGCTTGTTATTGGCCATCGCCGAGGGCGAGCTCGTGACGTCCATGGGCAGGTTTGGGGCGTCCTTGTACAGCTCCTCCATGTCGCAGGGCTTCTTGGGCTCTGCCGGCGCCGCCTCTACATCGCCGTCAGCGGGACCCGTGGCGGCTCCGGGCTGCCAGGGGCATCCGCACGGACATAATTTGGCCTGCAAACCAGAAACATATTTTAGGCACCGCATAAATCTCCTCCTTAAAATAATATTTGCAATTGCCTTTAAAGACCCCATCACCAAAGAAAAGCCATTAAACATTTCCACGCTTCAGGCTAATGGCTCCATAATACAGTGTAGTACATATACAGAGATGCTGGATATACATACATCCATGAGTGTTGTACGAAGAGTTTTGAGGAACTTATATTTAGCCATAAACACAGATAATTTAAAAGACCTTGAGGGCTGCCCGCAGCCAAAACCCACCCCCCAGTACACAGCCTGAAACAAGGACTCGGGCCATCCGTTTCACGTTTTGAAACAAAGCTTCACATAATAACAGAGCCGAGCGACAGCGCACTGTTTTAACTCAACAAAAGCCCCAAAACCAAACATTTCTAAAAATATCGTGGCTAAGAAATGTTCCACCATGGGCGAAGGGTCCTCGCTTCCCTAAAATACTCGTCCCTTTTTCATCCCAGTGGGATTTACTAAAGGCAAGCAGGCGAGTGCCGCACACTGCGTACAGCATCTTCAAAACTGCCGTGTGCAGGGTGAGAAAGAAGCAAACCCAAACCAAACGCCAACGTTTGCCCTGCCACAGAGCTAGACAGAGACAATCCTGTGAACCAGGCACCTGAGTCATAAAAGACACGAAGAATAAAAAAAAAAATCAAAGCAACTTCAAATTTATTTTGACAGCACAACCCTTTATATTAACCAAGCAAATGGCAATTAAAAAAAGGCAGAGATGGTTTCCATTCATGATTGCGGTGAAATTTGCAGCCTATTTCCTAAAAAGACTAACACCCCCTTCCCCTGAAAAAAAAAGCAGCAAACTAACGGTGCTGTACATCCATTTATTCAGAAGGATAAATAATTTCCGCCCCACGAGCTGCCGCCGGCAGACTTTGGCTGGGGGCTGGCCGCTCCGCCTAGCGCTGCCCGTGCCTCTCCCGAAGTGCGCGGTGCATCCTGCCGTAGTAATAATCACCATGGAAACTTGTCCAGTTTCAACTCCGTTACCATGGGAAAGCACTGGCGCACCCCAAATTTACATTTTTCACCTGCACGCGGCTGAATCCTCCTCCCTACGAATGAAACGCGTGCCATCGCCACCGCCCGGCTGGCCGGGCCGGTGGGAGCGAGGCGCTTCCCTGCATCCCGCAGGCACGCTGGCGTGGGGATGATAGGGAGGGCAGCGCCACTCCAAAATTGGATGCGTGAGGAGTCCCAGCCTGGGGATGCGTCTGTGTCTGAGAGCACACGAAGAGCTCCGCCGGCTCTGGCGCTCACAGAAATGATTTGCTCGCATAGATCTTTGTAGGACCAACAAACCTGCAAACTAAGAGGGGACAGGGAAAAGGGGGGAAGAAAGCAAACCCCATGAACAAAGGCTTAAAAATGGCCAAGGCAGGGAAGCGGGAAATCTCCCAAGTCTCTCCCGAGACCTGTAAATCCTTGGATTTGGCAGCGAGATGCCATGGCGAGCGCAAGACTACAGAAATGTGGGGAGTTAATAGCGGAGGCTGGTTGGGTAAAATACTAATAATTTATCAGGCGCGTTTGAGTTCTTAAAAAGGATTTTTAAAAGTAAACAGATGAGTCATATCTTTTCCCCTCCTGCTGCTGGCTTAAGGAGAATAATTCCGGATTTTTCTCATCTCATGAAACATTCTGCAGAAAACATTCACAAATACAGGGTTGAGGGTTTTTTTGTTTCCTTTTCCAGCCTTGGCTGAGACAGATTACAGGCAGGCAGAGATGCCCAAGCACTGAAAAAAAGGAGCAAAAATCAAATCCCTTATTCAGAAGGTGACAAGTATCAGTACCAAAAAAATTGGGCCAGTCTTGTTTTGGGGAGGGAAAGAAAAAAAAAAAAAAGAGCAATCGTTTCTAAAAATAGAGACAACCAGGAGACCGCTCAGCAGATTCAAGCTGAAAAAAAACAGACGTCGTCATTTCTGTTAAGGAATTAAAAAGCCATTTTCTACTGCTCTTATATAATCTCTCCCTCCCTCTTTTTAAAATGACCATTTTAAAACCCTGTGGTCTCTGCAGCGTACACCAGCATCTTTGCTCCTCCGGCTGCTGCAGCACAGCCGACTATTTTACACATGAC